TTGACATTACCTCCACTCCTTATTGTCTTTAATGAAATGTGTGTGTGTGTGTGTGTGTGTGTGTTAGCTATTACCCCCTCGGGTACTACGATTCCAACGTCAATTTCAATGGACCAAAATTGTCACCTTAAAGTAAGAGAGATTTTGAGTGGACCTTTTAAATACAAACTGTTAGTCACCATTTTGTCCAATAATTTATGCGCCTTTTCATTTGTTGCCCTTTTCAGCTCCACCTCACTGTTTCTGCCCTGTCACCACCATGCTGATTCAGTTGAATAGCCCTGTTTAATGGTAAGTAATCAAACAGGCAACATTTCCTACCAAAAAATGCCATACCTGCAAAAGTAGAGAGTGTTCCTTCCTCTCCGCCCAGTGAGTGATTTTCACAAAAAAAAAGAAGTTTTAATTACAAGGCCTCACACATTTTGCATACCGCTGTGTTGCTACTCTACAAAGCATTACAAGGCGGCACGTCTGTCGTAAGACCTTCAAAACAGCGTATAAATCAAGACGACAGGCAAAGTGATAAAAATTGTGGTCATTCAACCAGTCGGATGCAGGAAAGGACCGAGTCAAAAGTACACTTCAACGGGAATCCCAAGTATGGAAAGGTCTACCCAATTTCAGACAGTTGATCATGTGATAGGCTGTGCAAAAATGTGATTAAAAAAAAAGACGCCAGACACGAAGACAGTACAGAGGAAATGCAGCAGAATTGACACCTAACATTGACACAACTTGAGGCCACAACTCCACTTCCCTCTGCTTTTGATAGTGGACGGAAGTAAGTGTGGTTGCGGTTCATTAGACCTTTCATTTCATGAAGGTGAATGTCACGTTGCCTCAAACACTCCTTTCATGAGCACTTAGAGGTGCTACACCTTTCGTAGCTCAAGTTTTTTTTTCTAACAATGCGTGACTGGCGATCACTTTGGCATTCCTCTGACCCTTGACTGCATGAACTGGCCTGAGAGCCAAGTAAAGGTCCAACTTCCCCACTCCTACATTCAAGTACTCAACACTGCCTGATGCCTTCTTCTGTGTGATGGAAAGTCTTGAGACGTTGCATCGACCAATTCAGGACGATTACAAAATTGTAGCTCAATAAAAGACACTGTCAAGTCCACTCTCCCTTCAAAAAAAAGGCGAAAACAACTGAAGGTATGCTGACAAGGCAAAGGAAGGAGGAGTTCACACAACCACTGAGATATGTGTTAGTTACATAAATGCACCTTCTGGGCAAGAGGCAAAAAAAACTTCACCCTAACCTGATTTTGAGAGCGCAGAGACAGTGCTTGAATGCCCTCCCACCTATTTCACTAGGCTACCAACCCAACTGTACCCACAACGACAAAGAAAGCACCTCAAAGGTACTACCAAAAGGAAGGAAGGAGAGGAGAAAATTCTACACCAACAGCATAAATTGCAATGCAAAAAAATTCACAGCGTAAAGTCAAGATTTGGGGAAAAAATGAAAAGGCCAATAATTGAGAGGCAGAAAAGTGGTGCAGGAAAAGCCACAATAAAGTCAAGTCTGCCAACATTTTAGCCTTCAAAGGCTTAAACGCAGTCGCCAGTGGATAAGGAGATGCTTTAGCAATGCCTAGAGTTCGTTTTGTCGCCAAATAAAGTTTCCCCCTCAAAGCATCAGTTAATTTTATATTTGCTTAAAATTAGCTCAGCTAAAAATTCCGTCAAGTTGTTTTGCTTTGTAGGATTGGTGGATTATGGGGGGATTTCAAATCAAATTGAGGCACGATTGCACACAAAATCTTGCCACATCAGTCGTCTATCCCAAGGCCTGGGTTGGTGGCTTTGAAGGAGGCAAATTTGTCCGTACAATCGAACTGCCTTAAAAGACAGAATTTGACACCTCTCCAAATCGTGAAAGATTGGACGGTTTCAAGTTGGTCGGATGTTTAGGATCAAAACTCCGTTTCATGCAGGTGGGGAGGAAGTTACCGTACCTAAGATTGTTCGTTACTGCTATATACAGAGGCTTTTGTGGGCACGATTAATCCTTGCGGCAAATCATAGCCATCGGCACCTTTTGCCATCCAGTGGAACCCCCTCACAAATGACAATTTGCACTTCCCCTTAGGTGAGGGGTGTAACTTTTTGGAAGGAATTTGCAAAAACGCCTCCGGGACACTGACTAATTTGTTCAAACAAGGCAATGAGGAGGTGATTACGAGTGTTCGGCATTCCCTTTGATTCACCATCCACGAGCTAGACAAAACACAATCCATATGCACAATTAATCAGGCCAAACAGCCGGCCAGTGTGCTGGAAAGTGGGAATCAGGAAGCCTTCTGCTGATACGTCAAAGAACAGTCAAACAATGTGTGTGCTAGACTGGCTAGACAACGTTGGGTGTATGCGTATCTACATCGACTCCTCCTCCTCCTCCTCCTTCTGTCACTTCAAATCGACTGTTATTGTCGAAAACCTATTTCTTACTCCTTTTCAAAAAACCTGCCTTCAGCTCATAGAAAACCTACTCTTGTCACTGTTCAGGCAACTCATGAAGCGAATAAGCCAATTGTAACATTTAAATCTTGTGCTATGCCAAAAAAAGGAGCTTTGGTTGTCGACTCAAAGATTGACCAAATTAGTGCATGGCCCCCACCCCTACTCCTCCTAAAGAAAGAAGGTGTTAAAAATGAAATTTGGGTGAATTGATGATTGGCACACCTAGACACTGCTTCGTATTTCTCACATCAGTAGAGCCATTCCTACACTGCGCTATGGTTAGATTGCGGCTAGACAACCAGCTCGTGAGTCACCAAAATTCGTGTAGACCAAACATACTTGATTTAGCGCCACAATTGCCCACATTAAACGCTGCCCGGATCATCTACTTTACTCGGCTCATTGTGAGGATTAAAGGTGCCTGCTAGAATTGATCCTTCCATTCCATCCCAGTTCCCATGACGCACAACACCTTCAAATAGCCTTTAAAAAGAGGTTGCAACTAAAAAATGTCTGATTTCATGGTAGAGCCAGAGGGGAAGTCTTATCATATAGCATCAACTCACCGAAGTAAATCCAAGCACCATGACCTCTCCAGAGGGGAGACTGGCGAAAGATCCGATCCACGAGAGATTGGACGGTTTCAGTATTTGATCCAGCAATTGTAATTCAATTGTGGAACCATCTTCAGCGACAACAAATTTCCATCTTCGCACCCTTCCATGTTGACGTCCAGCTGTCAGAACAATTGTCTGGTGAAGAACCGTGACAGCAGTCACACCCTCTCTACCATGGCAGCGTTCAAGAGACCACGCGGGTTGAATTACCGTTTGATTCTGGGAGTTCAATGAAGGCAAAACCGTATAGCCACATTCTGACATGCTTGTCTTTGAAAAGTAAGGATATAAATAGGAGAACCATCAATCATTCCTGCCTGGATGCCATTAAAACCACCTCGCATAACAAACCAGTTGTCCATTTGGGTCAGCATGTTTATTTCTGATTTGTGGCGAACACAACCACTGAAAATTAGCATGGCACAGCGCATTCGAGTGCAAAAAAGAGGCATCAAGCACAAATTGCTCCTCTGAAATGGTTGAAAGAAGCAGAAGAATGCTTAATGTGGGTGCCAAATTCACAGAGAGGCAAAATCCTAATTACCAAATGACAGTGTGCGTTGGAAGCCTCCACACTTATAGGCAAAGTCTACCTTACGCAACCCATCAAAGACAGTTGTTAGGAGATCGCCTCCATTTTTGTTAAAATAGAATTTTTTAAGCACGTAAAGGAGTAGCTTTGGCTCTTGAAATGCTGCTTAAATTATTTACTAGCTACAAACTTCTTGAAGGTGGGAGCTGCTCCAAAAATGGTCCCCGTCCACAGGGAATTCTGCTACAAGCCAAAAATGTTGACCTACCTGCTTAGAGGCATTCTCGAGCGCATTGGTGGAACCATCTATCCTTTGACAGACAAATATTTCGCTTCCTTCTAGAGAATTTGGTGTTTTCCTTCAACCTGTAGTGACACTTTCCCATCTCAAGACAACCGATAAGAAATAAGCCAGACAGTGGAAGAGTCAAGGAGTGGTGTGGCAATTTTGGAAGGCGTTTTTCAGACCCGATCAACCTAGTTCCTTGCATGCTCTAAAAGCTCCCACACTCACTTAGCATGCGCATCAACAGCGGCCAATTCATTTGTCCACAGAGTCAATCAAAGCTTGAGACTATTTAGTCGTCTCCGATTAATGAAATGGCTTTCTTCGAAGAAAGGACCAAGAAAATAAGTAAAATCAAGACTTGTTGTTTCAATTGTGTGAAAGGCGGTGGTAGGTTTCGAATCGTAGCATACGACCTTATTTACAATTGTAGTGGTATTGAGGGAGGGAGGATATTGTCAAGGGCGGAGACAAAGGGTAGAAAGTATTTTGGCCGCCTTGAGAGCCAATCCCGTCCAGATGGCAATGATGAGGCTGTTGTTTTTCCTCAGCCAAAACTTGTAGTCAAAAATGGGCTCAAGTAATTACCCTTTCGAATATTAACTAATTGTAGCCATGAAATATCGTAAGTACTGGAACCGAGGCAGTGCGAAATTCCCCTCATACATGTAGGCTCTGAGATTGTTTTTCAAAAGGTGTGTGAATTTTTGAACAAAGACAGACACCAATTTGAGGGTGAGTAGATTGCGACCGTGCATATTTACACACTAACGACTTTAAAATGTGGTATAATCAAGTTGGTGGTAGAAATATCCCATTCTACTGATACTGCCATTTGAAAACAACTTCAAATGGACCGGGCATATGCAGGAACTTCGGTTCTATTTCTGAGTCAAGCAATGTCGCGGAAGTACACGAAGTAATTGAAGTACACTAAATGGAGGGGATATGCATGCAACAGTGCAGTTTTCCACCTAACAAGTTTTACAATGCCAAACATTTATGATAAAACCGTTGTGGGAGAGGAATACGGTTCTCACATCCCAACTCCCCTCTTACTCATACTTGTGAACTCCGAGTCAAAATTCAACTTAAGCCTACCGAGTTAGAGGGAAGGTCGTAAACTGCAATCCCACCGGCCCTGGTTCCAATAACAATGCAATGCGACGATGTGGGCTCCTGCCTTCTCCAACTAACTGCACACGTGGTCCAAGCCAACTCCTTGCACTGAGAGGAAGTAGGCTTGCGTTCGAGATAAAGAGCTTCACGAAACACCCCAGTACTGCTCGTCACATCGTCCAGCCCAATGTATACCTAGAGAAGAGATAACAGTGTGACAGTAACATTTTGGCGAAAGGAGGCATCCCATCTTCGTGCAAATTTCACTTTTATTGTCCACTCCCTACCACTTTCTCATTGCTTATCTCCTTTAATTTATCTCAGGGCGTTGTAAGGCGGAGGATAGCTGCCTAATACCCACAATCAAGCCCGTATCGTTCCCACTCAGAGAGTAAGACACTTCCTCTCCCATCTCAGCAGTCAAGTGAATAGATGAGAATGATTGACACAGAATTGCACTCGACCACTACTGTTTAAAAAGGAGGTGCGCGAATGAATAACTTACTTTTTTTTCGCAAAGCTAAAAGAACAATTCACTTTATACCTTCGTTTATAATAACTGGGCTAGAAAGAGCCGAAGCGTACCCCCAATATAGCCGGAGTTGGAGGAGGCAACTATCCTCCAATGAGGAAGCCATGGAGATGAAATATTAAAAAGCGCATTACAAATACATAAAACCTTACCACAAGCATGCTTGTTGCCAAGGTCTCAGAGGGCAATCAACCGGCACAGCTCGGACTTTTATTGGTACAAATAATTACACAAAGTGACATTACATTAGCCGACAAAACGTCAAATAGAATTGGCTATTCTTCCAAGGCAAGACGATGCTACGTTTGCTGTACTCGATTGTCCTGTCTGAGCCACGCAATTTTGTGTAAGCACATACACACGCACACATGCCACGCTAAGCTCACATAGGTAAACAGTTATGCCAAATTGAAGGAACTAGAAATGGTGAGGGGAGTTAGGGTTGTGTACGATGGCATCAAGTCAACGAATTGTTTCCAAATTGCCTTTGTCTGAGAATTACGTTTCACATAGACAAAGTTGGGTAAACAAAGGCATTTTGTCAGCTAAACGCACCTTTATAGTCCGTACAGGGGGGCTTATAACTCGACTCCACTTCCGTGTGTTAAAATTCCTCCGTCATGACGACGCGTTTAGTTAACTTGAAAAGACTTTTTGGCTAGGACAATAATGCCAACAGTGTGCGTCTTTCGTGAGCATGGCAAGTTACTTATAAACAGCAATTAAGTAGACCGAAGAATGTGGACTGTACTTCCGCCTCTACGTTCTCTAAGGCAAAATGGGCCTAGCAACTCCACAAGTATGAAATATTTTTCTGCTACCAGGACTGAAAAACCTATTTAAGCATATTTTCCATCAAAACGACCAAAAAAGTGGTGCAGAATAATGCGTATCTAGGCTTGATAGTACATAAATAATGCCATGAAATGTTAAGGGAACGCAAAAGTTCCGACAATCCATTCCAATAAGCACTGCCGACATCCGTGAGGGAAACTGCCAGACCCTTCATCAGGGCCTAGGCCTGTCTGATTACATGTGCGTTGAGGCGATGACATAAAACTCGTACTACAGCGACAAGCGACCCTCTGATAAGCCCAGCAGAATCGAATGATGTCAATTTTAACTACAATTCAACAGATTGAGCTCTTTAGCCGTCATAATTTCCCTTCCGTAGCCTCACACTTTGGACAGTCATCTCAACCCTGACAAAAAGGGGAGTAAAAATGGTAGCAATGCTAGGAATGAGGGTTTTAAAGAACTCGCTTACAATCATGACAAAATGACAGAATGCAAACGGACGACTGTATGTAGCATTGAAACG